ATTTGCCCTGTGGGCCCACATATTAAAGTTTTAAATACAGCTGTATTGGCAAAATAATTGATTTGCCTCAGTGTTTCTTCAAACACCATCTCTCACTCCATTCACACTCAGTCACTCTCACACACACTGGCCAGCAAGCATACATTCTTGCAAGTTGTGCTCTAAATGTGGCATCTTATAATTTTAGCCACAAGGTCTGATCAGGTCAACACAACTATGTCAAACACTATTGAGAAGTGTCAGTGATCATAAGGTTTAGTCTAAGTCCGCTGTTGTAAACCCTTTTTTCTTTTTACAAATTCTAATAGATTAAATATTTCAGAATAATAGGCCTGCCATTTAATTTTTCAAATGCATTTTGTCATTTGTTTGTCTAATTTTTATATTCTTTTTGTTTTTGCTCATGAGCTGCTTTAAGAATAATTTTGGAGATCTCTGCATAATCCCAGTTCTGACAGCATTTGCGCTCACTTTGTCTTCAGGGATAATGAGATACAAATTTTAGACGTCTTCAGATATAAAATATAATATATTAAGCACGTGCAATCTTATTTATATTTCTCTATTAATATCTTTCATTATATTTATTAATTAAATATATATTTTATAACTTTAACTTATTGCATACTACAATAATCTTCTAGGTTAATATCTTGAAACAATTGTTTTACTATTTCTTTTATTTTACTCCACATCATTTATACTTGTCCCTCACGCTCATTCACACATTCCTTGTCTCTTACAAGTGACCAGGGTCAGAGGTCACTATTTTTAACCACAGGCACAGTCAAGCAGACACACAGGATCCCACATACACACACACAAAAGCTATATCCTACTTACAGTGTTACTCACTGTTTTTACAAACAATACTTCACTGATACACTTCCCCAACACAGTGAAAAATAACTATATAAAACAGCCTACCTGAGCAGTCCTGTTCACCATGAACAGCGGTAACCGCAGGCTAAACTTATCTGTGCACTGGCCATTGCCTACCATCTATCAAAGCCCTCTTGATAAGCAAACACAGATCAACTTGTCATCTATCAAAGCCCTCTTGACAAGTAAACATAAATCAATAACTGATATTTTTATCAGTAACTATAATCCTGTGTACATGCTTTTGCTTATTATCCTTCAAGGCCCTCTTAATAAGCAAACACGGATCCTTAACTATATTCTTCTGTGTGCATGCTTTTGCTTATTATCCTTCAAGGCCCTCTTAATAAGCAAACACGGATCCTTAACTATATTCTTCTGTGTGCATGCTTTTGCTTATTATCCATCAAGGCCCTCTTAATAAGCAAACACAGATCCTTGCGTACGTACGTCAAAACCCTGTGCGCATGCTTTTACTCATTATCCATCAAGGCCCTCTTAATGAGCAAACACAAATCCTTGTGTACGCACGACAAAACCTTTAGCGCAAAATTAGCACCACCAGTGATCATACAATCCACACAGGATTAAACGAGCACTAGCAAACACTACCGGAGCTCCGCCGCGCTATAACACATTTACTCGATATCGTCAACAAAATGCATGCACTTATTTCTAGAATCAAAGATCCCTTTTTTGTCAATTTTTTAGTTCTTTAAATTTGGAGAAGCTTAAAGGGTCTTACCACTCTGGCTCACTGGTGACAACACATACTTTTTCAAAAGCAAAAAACTGCTCACCTCATGTACAGTGGCCACTGTTGTCTGTGAGTCACCAGTGTCGCCTTTCGTGGCTCCTTCAGCTCCTAAGCCACATTTGAAGTGGTTTCAATTGTTCTGTAAAATAACTTCGCAGAGATCTTTGATGCCAGAAATATTAGACTTTATTAACAAACAAAGCCGAGCATCTCCTGCAGGGGATCACTCCCTCCAGCAGGAGATCCCTTCCTCCTGCAGGCGATCACTCCTCATCCGTGCCCAGCTTCTCACATATATGCATACATCCTTTTCCAAAGATGGTCATACACTTATAGATAGTTTTGGGTGAAGGTCTTGTACCATGTGACTTCTCAGAATAGAATTGACATTCAGGGTCTTTTTACAGAAGGTCTTGCAGCTTTCAAAGACACATAGAGTCCTTCTAGAGGACTCATACAATAAATAATTGTGTATTCTTATAAGGCTAAATTACTTGTTTTCTAAGTAATAAAATCTTCAACATTCATAACTGGACTCTTAAGTGTATTAACTTTGTCTGTAGGCTACATCACAACAAAGTAGGATATTGAAATGCACACAACAATAAAAAAAATTTAGACATAACCACTTAGCCAACCATGGTAGAACCCCAAAAATCAAGAAAAAACAACGTCCAGTTGCTTCGCTTCTGAAATGTTCCTGGTGCGAGTTGGCACCGTGTGGAGGACGAAACAAAACCTTGTCGGAGCTGCAGTGTTGGGCAAGCTACTCTGAAAATGTAGTGAGCTAAGCTAGTAATTACTCTACATTAAATGAAGCTTCACTACATTGAAGCTACCCCTTTTGGGTGGGCCATGCCCCCCCAGATGACACAACGTGCCCCCCTAATCATATGGTCATCGAGCAAACTTACTATTGAGAGCAAAAAAAACGTATCCACGTATTCCATAACTAAATGTCGTCAGCAGCATTACCAGCACACAGGTGCACTAATCTCTGTAACTTTAAATAACACATTGTCTTCAGAAATATGAAAATTAGTCGGAGTGTGTAAGGCTCTGCGCAAGGCTTACCTTCCCCTGGCCGAGCGGGCTTGTCGAATTTTCTGATTCATTTGCCTGCTAAAAACAGCCTACTGATTCCACGTAAAAAAAAAGGTAATTTTTCTCAGAATTGCGTGATATAAAATCAAAATGGCAAGTTATAAAGTCAGAGTTGAGTGATATACAGTCACATTTGTGTGTTATAAAGTCAGAATTTTGAGAAAAACTCTGAATTGAGAGAAATCCATGTGAGAATTGTGAGATAAAAAGTCGCAATTATCTTTTAATTTTTTTTTATTCCGGGGCGAAAACAAGCTTCCATATACTTCTGAATGCTTTTAGAGCGAAAAGCTGTCCATAAATGCTGGTCTAGGATCAGTTTTCTCCGTAATAAAAGAATATTGGCTAAACTCCGGTGTTTTGAGCGGTGAGTGGATTAGTTCTACGCGCGTGCAAATCCTCTCGTTATAATAAGCAGTTAGGCTATGTAAATAAGGCATTATTGTGTATCAGCTTTACTGATAGCCTAGGAACTTTGTGAGATCGCGATGAAGTTTTATAACCGCTTTTTAAAGATAATAAAATAGGCGCTCTTTGCGAGCTTTCTGCCATGTCAAATCCTGCATAGCCTAGTAAATGTTTTTAAAGGGGAAGCGCATGGTGTTGGTTCACCCTCCGTCTATGATCAGCAACTTAATATTTTGTGTTTTGGTGTTGTTTAAATATAGAATTTGGTCTATTTCAGTTATATTAGACTAAATAGAGGATGTTATTGTTTTTGTGACTGTCTGTTTTGTAGATCATAAAAAGTGTGCCCCCCATGCAGGGACAAGCTGCACATTTAACACATTTATAGCTGCAAGAAAGAGTGCCTGAAAAATGTGGCTTGATTTGGCTTAAAGGAACACTCCGACTTTTTGGGACTTTAGCCTATTCACCTTATCCCCCAGAGTTAGATAAGTCTATACATACCTTTTTCATCTCCGTGCGTGCTATAAGTCTGTTTGACGCACCCACCGCTAGCCTAGCTTAGCACAAAGACTGGATGTAAATGGTTGCAGCTAGCATACTAATCCAAATAAGTGACAAAATAACACAAACATTTTCCTATTTACATGTTGTGATTTGTATAGTCACAGAGTGTACAAAAAACAAAGTCACATGAGACACAGACATATTTTAACCGTATAAATACTGGGAACTATATTCTCTGAAGGCGAAGCACTGCTACTTGGGCGGAGGGATAACCGCAGCACCTGAGACGCGCCGTGGTGAGGAGCAGAGAGTTCGTCTCAGGTGCTGCGGTTATCCCTCCGCCAAAGTAGCAGTGCTTCGCCTTCAGAGAATATAGTTCCCAGTATTTATACGGTTAAAATATGTCTGTGTCTCATGTGACTTTGTTTTTTGTACACTCTGTGACTATACAAATCACAACATGTAAATAGGAAAATGTTTGCGCTATTTTGTCACTTATTTGGATTCGTATGCTAGCTGCAACCATTTACATCCAGTCTTTGTGCTAAGCTAGGCTAGCGGTGGGTGCGTCAGATAGAGTTACAGCACGCACAGAGATGAAAAAGGTATGTATGGACTTATCTAACTCTGGGGGATAAGGTGAATAGGCTAAAGTCCCAAAAAGTCGGAGTGTTCCGCCAGTGTAGGCCTATATAATTTCGACTCGGACTCGAACACGGACTCGAGACTCGACTCGGACTTGAACTCAGGTAATGGTGACTCGACTTGGACTCGACTCGGACTCGACAGTTGGTGACTCGACTACAACACTGAGACAAACCGAAGTATAATAAGCTTCATCATCAATAAACAAGGCTTATCCATCAAGTTAAACCTTTATTAAGGCAAAAGAAATTGCAAAAAAAAGAAATTGACTGCTGACTTTATGAAATCATTGTAAATGCTTAACAGGATGGACATCTGTCACAGACAAAGATAATAATGTTGTTATCAGAAGATGTTTATTATAAAACACCAGAAAAGACGAACACAGGGAACCACAACGACCAGGTGACATGCAGAATAATGATTTTTTTATCTTCTACTTATTCTTGTGGAAGATGTGCACTTCAATGCTGACACAAATGAACTGTGCTTTAAGAACTCATTCAGTCTTTTTAACAATTAGTAATTCTTAATCTTTTTCATCACAGAATTGGACAACATGTATTAATATATTTTACCATGAATTCCCATGACATCTATTATATATATTTTTATGGACTATTGGACAGCAGATTGAACAAGACTTTTATTTTGGTCTGGTGATATGACATCATAAAGCTGCGCCGTGCTCCTGCAGCTGTTGTGATTAGACTGAAGAAAGGTTTGTGGTTTTGCGCATTTAAAGAGTTTAAATCGATAGACGTCAATTTGATAGTTTTTACAAGCGGTATGTGACCATGAATTATTGAACATAGTCTTTGTTATGCTTAATGTAACAATTTTGCGTTTTTTATGTGTAAAGCGTTTTCGAATGTGAGTTACAGAAAAGGTGCGTCTCAATTCGCGCACTATATCTTGTATCAGTTTCTCGTAAACACGAATTCGGGTTTTGGGAAAGTGGTCATGGAGAAACGGAGCTTTTCTAAACTCAATTGAATCTAATGCTTTGCCAAATGACTCACTGATTCGAAGCGCTTGAATCACCGCGTGCTAACAAATCCTGCCGCTCAAAACAGAGTAAAAATACAACGAAAACACAAATATGATGATTAACAATGACACATTTCATGAACAAGTCTTAAATGTTTTTATGACAACGTAATCTGTTAAATCTACAAATTATTAAATATGAAGTGTCTGTAATTTATTATATATTGTAGTGCTTGTTTTCAGTGATTTGTCTAATCAGTTGATTTAAGTCAGAAATGAAAATTCTGTCAGTATTTACTCACCCTCATGTTGTTCCAACCTCGTAAGACCTTTGATCATCTTCGGAACACGAATTAAGATATTTTTGATTAAATCTGAGAGCTGGTTCACCATAGGCTTCTTCAGGGATTGAAACTTGACAGCCCCGGAAAGTTATTAAAGAAATAATAATCTTTATCCCTTTATCTCTCTCTCTGACTGACTCCCTCACCAGTGCACTGAACTAGAGCTGATTGAGACACACATTTTTACTGTGCATTTATTTTTCTCTCTGTTAATTATTCTCATCTTCAACAATTTTTCAAACACATAGGAAAACTCCTGGAGAAACATATGAGATCCACATCACACTATTATAAAGATGGCGTTTATTAAAGAGGAGAGTGAAGACATAAAGATTGAAGAAGTGTTCAGCGTGAAACATGAAGATACTGAGGAACAAACAGGTTAGTTTCATTCGGCCCTATTTAAATGATCTACAGAAATAAAAAATTTTATCCTGGTTTTCGCCTGGAAGGCTCTATAGAAATCTGGCACCCTATTGAACGAAGTTAAACTGAGAGTGCTGTCGTTCACTGACACCAGAATGACCGAGTTCACAGTAACGTTCATCAGGCAAAGTACGTTCAGTTCACATTCGCCCAAAATATGAACGGGTTCATGAACTATCATTCAATGAACACGTTCAGGCACAACACTGACCACAGCCCCATCAAGTGCCTTTCACTAAACCTAAGACTGAAACCAAAAACAGTAATATTAATGATAATATTAACATTTAATGATAGGTGGCCATTATTACAATAAAACACTTAAAACAGTCAAGTTTGTTGGTGAAAAAATATTTATATTTGTCAAATCATGAGAGTAGTTACAATTATTATTTTGATGTATTGGCATCCACATTATTTTAAACCCTAAACAAAATAATTTCAAAGTTTGTGGGCTGGAGCCGATGTGTGTGCTGCCCACAAACACAAAATAGCTTTGGCCGCTACGATTAGTGCTGCATCTTCCAGAGCTGACTCAAACGCAGCAGCCATCTTGTCAGAAGACACAGGCGTGACGTGAACAGTCTCTGGCTGGGCAAGCGTGACGTGAACAGTCTCTGGCGCGGCAGACGTGACGTGAACAGTCACTGGCGCGGCAGACGTGACGTGAACAGTCACTGGCGCGGCAGACGTGACGTGAAGAAGCTCAGGCTGGGCAGGACTGATGTTAAGAAGCTCAGGCTGAGGGGATACTGTGGGCTTGTGAGCCTCCTCATCTGCAAAGCCCACAGTAAAGGACAAGATGTTCAATAAAAGGGCAAAGTCCATATACTGAGCGGAGGCAGACCCAGGGGCGGGATGAAGGACTAGACCCATGGAGCGGAAGAGGGCCTGGAGACTGAGGTGGAGCAGGCTGAGCAGGGGTCCAGGGCGGATCCGACGCTTCAGGGGTAGAGGCAGGCATCTTATCCGAAAACACAGGCGTGGAGTCGACCATCTTGTCTGAAGACGCAGTCGCAGGTGTAGAGGCAGCCATCTTGTCCGAAGACACAGACATAGACACAGGTGTAGAGTCGGCCATCTTGTCCGAAGACACAGACGTAGATACAGGCGTAGAGTCGGCCATCTTGTCCGAAGACACAGACGTAGATACAGGCGTAGAGTCGCCCATCTTGTCCGAAGACACAGGCACAGGTTCAGATTCAGGAACAGGCTTAGACTGAGAAACAGGCGGCCTGGCGGCGGCCATCTTGTCTGAGAGCTCAGGGGGGCGTGCCGGCGGCCATCTTGGCCGGAGACGAACTCTCCGAAAAGAGCGTCAAATTCGCATCTAGTTGGACGCTCAAACATTTTGAATCCATTCGCGCGTCCAAAGCAAAATTGACACGTGTAAAAAGCAAAAAATTGACGCGCGTCTGGGGCGAAATCCGCTTCTTGTGGGAGGGTGCGAGTGCTAGGCGGTTGTCTGTTTGCAAGATGGCTGATGTTGATTGAGCATTCATCAAGAGTTACCGCTCTGTATTTGCTCTGGAGAGCAGAACAGCGGTGTAGGGGTCACCGCCGTCCACAGAGCCGGCGGCAGGCGAGCGCTGATGAAGGGGCGTCTGAAATATCGAGAGGGGGCGTTCACATTAACGCACGTCACCACTTTTTGCCAGGGTCAATATTCTCCCCACCACTTTTTAAAACATCTTCGCGGCACGGATGTAATCACCTAATCACGAATTCTTAAACTGTTCCCTCGATAATAAATCATCTCTCTGTATGGTTCCAGAGACATGGCTCTTCTCATTCAGCACTGCGGGAAAAATATAATTTCCAGGTTCTAATTTGGCCTTAGTAAAACCAGTAAAATCGATTTTTTTCAATATTAATTTGTGAATATTTTAAATTTTTAATAAAGGGGCAAAAAGTCGGAGGGTGCATTTGACGTCGCTTTTGAATCAGGGTAGCCTTCGTCGAGCCGCAATGAGGCAACCGGCCTTCGAATACGCAAATTTACACGGAGCCAAGACTATCAAACTTTTCAACAAATACATTATTTGAAATATTTCAAATATCCGTGTACTTTTTCGTCCATTCGTTTTTCTTTTTTTTCAGGGAAAAAAATGTATATTTCGCCCCTGGGTCATGTAATTTATTTTACACAAGCACAACATTTTCTTGTTGTTGTGAGTTGAGACAAATAAAAGTAGTTGCTAGGGGTGTAACGGTACATGTAATCGTATTGAACCGTTTCGGTACGAGGCTTCCGGTTCGGTACGCATACAAACTGAACGATTCCTTGGACCATTTTTCCTGCCGACAAAATCCGCGCTGGCGCGACGGCCACACCGTTGCGCAAGATCAAATGGCAAACGTAATGAAAGCGGAACGAAACTGCGCTACTCATTATATTATGCTTCACGGACCATTTATCGGTTTGGACCAGCAACATCTGTGCAGCGCGAGCCGATCTTGATCCAGTCCTTCCAGAAAAACGCAGAGTTTTTTGTGATTGTTGCGGGCAAAAATCCTTGATTACGCGGCCCGTTTTCTTAAAAAATGCGATGGAATATGCAGGATATTTATGCAATTTTTTGCGATGAAATTGCGGGAACTTGCAAAAATTGTGGGAACTTGCAAAAACTGGTTTGATGAAAAAGAGAAAAAAAAGTGATTCCCCCAACACCCTGTTCTCACTAGGCTACTACCTTAATTTAAAGAGTCCTTTCTTATTACGTCCTATGATAAGCAAGCATATACCAGTCCTTCCAGAAAAACGCAGAGTTTTTTTGTGATTGTTGCGGGCAAAAATCCTTGATTACGTGGCCCGTTTTCTTTAAAAATGCGATGGAATATGCGGGATATTTATGCAATTTTTTGCGATGAAATTGCGGGAACTTGCAAAAATTGCGGGAACTTGCAAAAACTGCGGTTTGATGAAAAAGAGGGAAAAAAAGTGATCCCCCCAACACCCTGTTCTCCCTAGGCTACTACCTTAATGTAAAGAGTCCTTTCTTATTACTTCCTATGATAAGCAAACATACTACATCACAGAAAGTTCTGGAAATATTTAATTTCTCATCTTGTTTTATTTCACACTGTATCGAGTGGATATAAGGTGTGGCCCCTTTAAGAGCTGCGCGCTCCCTGTCTAACTGTCTGCAGTATTATATTGTATGTGCCATGCGCCTCGAACACCCCATGTGTGCGGGTAATTTCTCTTTGATGCTACTTCTTTTATCTTATTTTGTTTATTAAGTAACGACGTGGACGGTAGAACGTGTGACAGACAGTTACGAGTTCGATTTGGGAATAAAGTGCGAGTTGTGAGATGCCAATCGCCTCCGTGAGTCTGTCTGGCCTCTGCAATAACTCCAGCTGTGAGCTATCCCTATTTTTCTTCCCGACACAACGCGTTACAAGACCTTAATAAACACATCAAACTTACAAAACATTGATGAGTCAAACAAGTTCTGTAGCTTTACTAGAGGAATATGCTACAACTTCTGTAAAAATGAATAAATGAAATATTTAAAAATAAAGTGTGCTCCTGATTTACAGCTTTTCGATGATGTTCACGTCGCGTAATCACGTCACTTCATAACGTTCCCATGGCAACAGGGGGAAACGGCTGCTCTCGTGTGAAGCAAACGCAACATTTTTCAACTTTCTGCTAAGATATATGTGACTTTTTTGCGACGAAAATGCGGGAATTATGAAATCATGCAAGCCCCGCATATTTTGCGCGGAAATCAGCAATTTATGCTGCGAAATTGCAGAGTATTTGAAAAAATGCGGCCCCGCATAAATATGCGGACTTTGGCTGATTATGCATTGAATTCAGCGATCGCATAATCGCGTTTTTCTGGAGGGACTGTTGATCAAGCGACACACTGTTACTACACCGCGCTAAGAGATCCAGTGAAGAAAACATTTGAATTCGCCACTGAAGTAATAACATCGCTGCGAGATCTAGTGAGAAGCATTCAAATGTCTCCGTTATTAACCGTAGATCTCTTTTAGATCAAACAGCGCTGACGTGGACACCAGGAGAAACATTGTGCCGTGAATGAACTAGTTATAGACTTTAAGTCCACAGATCAGATCAGCAACATTCACCATGGATTTACTGTAGTAACACTAACTGTAACCATGGAAGTTTGGCCTGAATAGTGAAATGCTTTCAAGTACTTCACACATCTTTTTCCAGCACTTCAAAACTCAAATATTATATAAATATTATATATAGACCTATATTTAAATGTTATTTTTAATGTGATGACCAAAACATTATTTGTTCATCCTTCAAAGATTACCCCCATTTATAAACCTGAACGTTTCAAGATGTAGGAAAACTCAAACTTATTTAAAAATATTTTTTCTTTTAATAAATAGGAAATTTCTCTGGCATTTCTTTCTTTTTGCTGTATCGAAAATGTACCGAACCGTGACACCATCGTATCGAACCGAACCGTGAATTTTGTGAACCGTTACACCCCTAGTAGTTGCACATGATGTATTATTCTTTTCTGTATGACCAGTAATTATAGAGTAGCCTATTTTAAGTTGTTTCCACTGTTGATAGTAAAATGCAAGTGTTCGCGCCCGCGCCTCCGTGCCATGCAGTGCGCGCTCACACTCCCACATACGATATGCTCAAAATCTTGTGTTTATTTGTGATAATCTTAGTCCTGTATTATTATTGTCTAACCTGTATTATGACTGACATTTGACGAATTGCTTTGTTCCTTTTTTGGATAAAATCGCCTCCTAAATATGTAAAACCTAAATGTAGGCTAATAATAATAATATTATTATCATTTGCGTTTATAACTATAAATGAGTTCACTGAAGACAGTAATATGTTAATCATAAAATAATTTATGAATGATTTATTTTTATATAACCTAACCTTGTGTTTGTGTTAGGCCAATATTTCTTTTTTATATGTGAAGTCTTTTTTTGCTTAT